TGTAACAGCAAATAGATTATAATGTATTATACCTGTGGTTACAATTATTAATGAGATCATACAATGTGCATTACAAAGCATTGCAACTACTTTTAAAATGCATTATATATAAAAGCTTTAAGTAAAGTGTTACCCAATGTATCATTTTGCTAAAATCAATAAGGCCATGCATTATAGTGATTTTACCATGGTTATGTAGAGAGTTTGACTTTTATCAAATTATTTATGTCAAAACATCTTCAGTGAATATCACAGGTTTGTAACGTGCATCTAGTGTAGACAGACAAACTACTCAAATTATTTACAGCTTTAATTTCAAAATATAATTGTTGTACATCAACAACAAGTCTTTTCATTCAGAAACGAAACATCACTGCCTCTTTAAGAGAGATGTTAATGAATGCATAAATGTATGCACTGTTCTCCATATCTTTCTTTTAACATGCTTTTTTCATTGTCAGCAGTGTTGGGGAAAGTTACTTTTAAAAGTAATGCATTACAATATTGCGTCACTTCCTAAAAAAGTAACTAATTGCATTACTTTTGTGTTACTTTTTCTCATCTGGGCTGGGCTTGCTTGTTTGTTTTTAATATAAAAAAGTTATATTTTTGGCAAATGTAAAAGCCCTTTCACCCAAAGTGAAATGAATAAGCCTCAGGTTTATTCAAAAATGCAAATTCAAAAAGCTCAATCAAATCTTTCTACTTTGTTAATTTTGAGGAATAATCATTTCTGTAAAGGTATATTTACTTTTTACTGAAGTGTGATGATTGAGTACTTTATATAACACTGACAAATACATACATTTAAAAAAAAAAATTAATACAAAGACCTAAAGTATCAATACAATAGTGTGTTTTATTAGACAGAGTTGCATGCAATTTGTTATATACATACAAAGTGCTTAGAGTCATTTGAGGATTACAGCCTGTTTAATATGAAATAATATCAGACAAATGCTGGCCTCACCTCAGCCTCGTTTTTGTTCTGTTCGGTTGTGTGAAATTATCAGCACTGTATATTTGACCAGTATCCCTGGCACTCTCCTACACTGTGCTTGTTTTACTTGTTGTATGGATCTTGCATGAATCCTTGCTTTCCTTTTTTCTCATATAACACAATAATTTCAATACAAATCAATATTTCGTGTCCACAGTTATTTATTTGGTATGTAGCCGTGTAACAAGCAGGATAACGTACAGTTATCATGTCGTTATTGCAAAATAAAACCCTTTTAGGCGAGTCATGTGGCTGGTTGCATAAACTGCTTAGACTAGTCTTACCAGTTAGTCATTTGATTTTTTAACTAGTCGTAACTTCATCAGTTAAAAAAAACCAGATGGGTCTAATATGAATCTGAAAAGTAAGACAGATTATCCCTTGACTAACTGCTAGTTAGTCAAACTAGTACTTAATGGATGTGGATGTGTTTATGCTCCCTGCTCTTTTGAGAGAATACACACATAATCCCTTATGTACATTATTTTTTATCTTTTTTTACATGTTGTGGTGAAACATAACGTTCTTGACAGGTTTTGTGAGATTCACCCAACGTGATCAAATGTTTAGATGCAGTCACGTTTGTTGCTCTTCATCTGGACGCACCACCTGATGGCCTTTGTGTCCAAAAAGGCTACACTCGTCACATATGCATTGTTTGTCCTCACAGCGGTACATTGCATTGAGGACATTCATATGAGCCCTTCGTCGCTGTCTGATCCCAGTGCTTCTGGATACAGAGCAGGCAGTAACTGTGTCCACAGGGAAGAGTAGCAGGGTCCTTAAGGACGTCCAAGCATATGGAGCAAGCAAACGCCTCTGGAGCCCAGGCAGTCGTAGCCATGATGTTGAAGACAGGTAGATGAACAATGCAGGCTTTCTGCAAAAGCACAGGCAACGGCTTTTCACATTTCATTTAAAACCAGTACGGGTGTGGTTAAAACTAGTAGTACAAGTTCTTTGGATGGTTCTAGGTGAGCACTACACACATTTTCCATGACCAAAATGACACAGCTAGAATAAAATTAAAGGAAGGCTGACAAACCTGTGCATCTGGTCAGGGATCGGGTGGTTTGAAATGTGGAGATCATACAATGTGCATTACAAAGCATTGCAACTACTTTTAAAATGCATTATATATAAAAGCTTTAAGTAAAGTGTTACCCAATGTATCATTTTGCTAAAATCAATAAGGCCATGCATTATAGTGATTTTACCATGGTTATGTAGAGAGTTTGACTTTTATCAAATTATTTCATGCATGAATCCTTGCTTTCCTTTTTTCTCATATAACACAATCATATTCTTGCTCTTGTGAATTTATTTGGATGTTAAATGCGAGCTGTCTCTTTAATACCGCGTGGTTTATATACATGTTGCTGCTGATTGGGCTGACATGGTTGACACACCCACCAAACAAGAGAAAACGCATCTCAATCTTGTTTGTGGTGTTTATAAGAGGGGGAAACCCATGATGGATGCTGGTCTCTAGACCTATAATAACTTCACAGCATGCTACAAAGATTTGTGTTTAGTCATTTTGTTGACATGTTCATGTCTTGCATCAGTAGTTGGTCAAACGATAAGAAAAAAATTATGCAGAAAGACCAATACATAAAAATCCTCTTGTGCTTTACTCACCCTCATGCTGTCCCAGATGACTCTGTTTCTTCAGATAAATACAAATGAAGATTGTTTATGAATTATTTCCATCTCTGTGAGTCTAATGCTAGTATAATGGACCTCTATAGGTGACCACACAACATGACAGTAATTCACTCGACTCCAGTTGATGAACCAATGTTCAAACAAAACGATAGGTGTGTGTGTGTAAGACAAACAATTAAACACTGTCTTTACACTAACAGTCACTTCTAGTGATATGTCATACAATTGAAATGAACCTTTTTCTGTAAACTTGCCTAGGTTTGTTACATAACATGCTTTCTGGGGGAAAAAAAAAAGTAGACACAATTATTCCTGACAAGAGATGTCAAAAATAGTCTGCAAACATCCTTAATCAATATCCCCCGAAGATTCGAAACTCAGAGAGCGAACCGAATGACGATTCGAGACTCAGAGAGCGAACCGAACGATGATTCGAGACTCGGACTCGGAGAGCGATCCGAACGACGATTCGAGACTCAGAGAGCGAACCGAACGACGATTCGAGACTCGGAGAGCGAACCGAACGAAGATTCGAGACTCGGACTCGGAGAGCGAACCGAACGACGATTCGAGACTCAGAGAGCAAACCGAACGAAGATTCGAGACTCGGAGAGCGAACCGAACGAAGATTCGAGACTCGGAGAGCGAACCGAACGACGATTCGAGACTCGGAGAGCAAACTGAACGACGATTCGAAACTCGGAGAGCGAACCGAACGAAGATTCGAGACTCGGACTCGGAGAGCGAACCGAACGACGATTCGAGACTCAGAGAGCAAACCGAACGACGATTCGAAACTCGGAGAGCGAACCGAACGAAGATTCGAGACTCGGACTCGGAGAGCGAACCGAACGACGATTCGAGACTCAGAGAGCAAACCGAACGACGATTCAATAAATAAATTTGTGAACGAGATGCTTTAACAGCTGTTAAAAGAGAACAACAGTAAATAATTACAAATAAAACATGATATGTGATATGTTTTGCTTTAATAAATTTGCTATTGATGCTTAGCTAAATCGATTTATGTGACTAATAAATCTAAACATTGAAGTGCGCAGTAATTTAATCAATGGTCGAAGAAGAAGCTGCTTCTGTCACAACATCCGGCAAATCTTGTTATTTTAAGGTGAGTGATTAACTGCGTTTGTCTCCTTTTAAAAATGGTTTATTATGACTTATTCATTAAAACTTAAAACCAACATTTGCTCATATCGCCGTGGATTATAATTTCGTATAATACGTTTCACGTGTTTTTAAAAGAATAAATGGCTGATCACTAAGTTAACAGTGTTATGTTAATATATGATAGCGAGTAGTTACTAATATGCTTAATGTTGTTTGCCCCTCTGTATGTTTCTCTCATGTTCTTTATATACTGCCACAAGGTTGCTGTCTCAGTCTCAGTTGTTCCAACAAAGCCTGCTTGGATTGGTTTGAAATCCTGTAACCCAGAGTTTGTTCAGCTAGCGTCTTGGTACAGGCCTCCAAGTCTTCCACATTTAGGCTTCAGACCGATAAACCAGAGGAATCCGCTTTGCTGTTAATGCTGAACTGTGTTTTTAACAGGATGTTTAGGACTGCGCACATGAAGACTTGCCTAAAGCAGCTCAGACTGGTGTTGATGCTCAGGGACACTCGTATCCAGCATGAACAGACGATCTGCAGCCGCGCTTCTTTGAGACGAGATGATGATATGCAGCGGTGGGAACAACACGGGCTCTTCTGCTCCAGCACCGCTCTAACATCTCCTCACATCCACTGCCCCGTTTCTAGATGATTCTCTCTAGTTCTGGACTCCTGCAAACGTGTATGCCCAAAGGCCACGATACAGATATGCATCAGCACTCATTTACTATTAACACACATGAATTTTGGCTGTATTAAGTGGGTACACATATCAAATACTGTCTTGCTGTTTTTACGCATCTCGCCCTCACGAAGCCTCACCAATCAAAGGACAAAAGTGGAGGAATGCCAGAGTTCTCCTGAAAGCGGTATTAAAAGACAAACATGCTACTACGCCTTAAAACGCGGCATAAATAGCACGAGCAGCTTCCGTTGGTTGTGTAGCATTGGTCCAGGCCTGTGGAAGAGTCATTTTAAAGCTGTAGTGCAAACTCGCGGGCTGCACAGAAATGCACATCAGCGGACTGTGATGGACGAGTGCTTGTCTGCAGGGAACGAGGCTCACTGCAAGCCAACGCTGCTCTGTACGCTCGGGAAGAGAAGAGCTGGGACGCGGTGCTGGTGTGTCTGTGTGCCGTGAGCGGAGATCCCGCGCTGCTCTTCACCTTCAGATCTACCAAACTGAAGGGCAGACACAAAGGAGATGTCAGGTATGCATCACGTCCAGCGCTAAAGCTCCTCTGAGCTCGTTCAAACGCCCTTCTCATGCCTGTCGTGTTAGTTTCGCGGGGGAAAGAAAGACCGGTCTGTCAGAACTGTTGTAGACACGGCTCTCAGAGAAGCTTGTGAGGAGCTGGGAATCCACATCACTGAAGATAAAGTGTGGGGTGTGCTGAAACCCCTGCATGATATGGTGAGTGTGCACTTTCATGTTAGCACAGCATTTGTGACTCTGGACCACAAAACCAGTCATAAGGGTACATTTTTGGAAATTGAGATTTATGCATCATCTGAAAGCTGAATAAATAAGCTTTCCATTGATGTATGGTTTGTTAGGATAGCACAATATTTGAAAATCTGGAATCTGAGGGTGCAAAAAAATCTAAATATTGAGAAAATCATCTTTAAAGTTGTTCAAATGAAGTTCTTAGCAATGCATATTACTAATCAAAAATTAAGTTTTGATATATTTACGGTAGGACATTTACAAAATATCTTCATGGAACATGATCTTTACTTAATATCCTAATGATTTTTGGCATAAAAGAAAAATCTATAATTGTGACCCATACAATGTATTGTTGGCTATTGCTACAAATATCCCCCAGCGACTTAGCACTGCTTTTGTGCTGCAGGGTCACATATGTGATGTTGAGTATAAAGTTTGGAAACTTAATCAAAATGATTAATATTTAAAATGCATGCGGTATTAGGCTGGAAACATACTTTTCTCAATCTCAAGTATGCGAATGCAGACAGAAGTGTTTGGCCAGTGCGCTGTGATTGAACATAATTCACATGCTCTCTTGCATTGGTCTGTCGGTAATGAAGCTCAGTGGGGCGATAGAGTCACATCCAGATGTTTCTGACATTAAACTGGATGTGTTATGCTCTGACATGCACTGTGAGCGGTAATGTCTTATATAGACAGGTGTGTGGCTTTGCTAATCAAGTCCAATCAGTATAATCAAACACAGCTGGACTCAAATGAAGGTGTAGAACCATCTCAAGGATGATCAGAAGAAATGGACAGCACCTGAGTTAAATATATGAGTGTCACAGCAAAGGGTCTGAATACTTAGGACCATGTGATATTTCAGTTTTTCTTTTTTAATAAATCTGCAAAAATGTCAACAATTCTGTGTTTTTTTGTCAATATGGGGTGCTGTGTGTACATTGAGGAAAAAAAAATTAACTTAAATGATTTTAGCAAATGGCTGCAATATAACAAAGAGTGAAAAATTTAAGGGGGTCTGAATACTTTCCGTACCCACTGTATATATATGTGTTATGTAAAATTCTTTGAAGTGTTTTTTTTTTGACAGAAAATGAAGTTTATGATTACAAGAACAAATCTGACAACGGGCTCAAAAATCTAGGAAAAACAAGTTTTCATTCCCCATTGATACAGCATAAACTCAATTTTCAAGTCATTTTACATTTGCATCGCAAGTAAATTACCTTGATTTAAGAATGTTTAGATATTTCTATCGGGAAACAAAAATACAGAGGAAGATATACATCTTTTTTTTGCAGCCCATGCAACATTTAATGCCGTTACTTTATGAATTTAAGTCTTTCTGCTCTAATTTAACGCCTTATTTGTGGAAGTGAATTAAGGCTTTTTAAGACCCACAAAAACCCTGATTATAAATTACGTTTTTGCTGAACTGCTAAAATTGAAAATTAAGAACATGCATTTTTTTTCTTCAGTTTGTTTGAATCTAACACTGAAACTGATGACCTAAAATGAGCTTTACATATTTTGCACAAAGCTACCTTCTCGTGAAGTGAAAGCAAATGCAAATGTCCTCATAACTGATGTAATTTTTCCAAACTGTACATGTGAAGCTGACCAGACACAATAAAGAGCATCATTTTCCAGTGACAAGATTTTCCATTTATTCGGTTTCATCACAAAAACACGTTCTCTGCCAGCAACAGAACACAAGCCTTCAGAAATAAAAGACGTAACTGGGCCTGGTAAAACTTTAAAGCAAAGAAAAAAAACATTTATAAAAGATAAAATAATTTTACAGCATGCATGAAACATTTACAAGTTTAAAACAATGATGGCGTTCAGTCAAATGCATCAATTCACGTGTGTGCATGCTTTCTGGTTTCACTGTCATGCAAAGGCCATCGCTTTACCCAATCAAGGGGGACGTGGTTGAAGAAATTACAAAAGTACTAATAGATATGCCTTATCGAGATGATATTGCTGTAACGGAAACATGAGAAGTGAAATGAACGGAGCGCGTCATGTGCTGGTGGCTGCGGTGAAGACGGGGCCCGTATAAACGCCGTCTCCAGCCACTTCTCCCATCGCCTGCAGAGCCACCGTCGCTGCCATCGCCTTCGCATGCTTCTTATTGGGACTGGCTGTCTGAGGCTGATAATCACATCCGTTCACCACCACCTGATAAACACACACACATCTGACTGACAGCAAACACATCTGTGCATTCAGCCCCAAATCCATAACGTCAAAACCAATTCTTTAGCATTAACAGATCACAAATGAAGATCAGTCTTATATACTTTCAATTAAAGGATGCATGATGTATTCAAGTCCGTAAGCATGCGCCAAACCTGTAATGGGAAGCATTTATAAAGCAGCTGTAGTCAATAAAAGATCAACTTTAAGTGCTCCCTGTGGTTTTTCACTTATTTTCTATGAAATGCACTCCCCTACAAAATCCCCATAACCACTCTAGAATGATTAATTATTTCCAAATATTCAAGTCATATAGTGAACATTATTTTCGTTTTTTCCATATGGCAGAACAACTAAATATTGTGCAGCTGCAGTTTCAATTATAATATTCCAACATCTACATTCACAATTCATTTGAAACTACTGGTTTTATTTTAGTGTGTTTTACATCCTTTTTAATGACGATATTTAATAGTCCCTCTAAAACTCAGCACTAACCTTGAAGAGGAAGTTCTTGCGGTGGTCTGGTCCGCTGTGGTGCACCATCACAAACTCAGGCTGTGGCCACTTCTTCTTATTGCACATCTCCATCAGAGCAGACACCGGATGCTTCCCTGCACAATTAACATCATATCCACATTCCCATAAACCCGCTGGAGTGGAGACTTGGGTAGGGTTAGGATTGTCAACCCACATTTTTTTTAAATGGAACAGTTTATTGAACATTTAGGCAAATCTAAAAGTCTAAAGAAACAAGTGTTGTTTGCTAGTTTTTGTTTGATCCATCAGGCGTTTATGGCTCATATAATCTGATATAGTGAGAATATGGAGGAAAAACAGCTCAATTTTATTCTGAGACTGAAACTTAGCAAAAATGTGACACTGGAGCACAAAACCAGTCATAAGGGTCAATTTTGTGAAATTGAGATTTATGCATCATCTGAAAGCTGAATAAATAAGCTTTCCATTGATGTATGGTTTGTTAGGATAGCACAATATTTGAAAATCTGGAATCTGAGGGTGCAAAAAAATCTAAATATTGAGAAAATCATCTTTAAAGTTGTTCAAATGAAGTTCTTAGCAATGCATATTACTAATCAAAAATTAAGTTTTGATATATTTACGGTAGGACATTTACAAAATATCTTCATGGAACATGATCTTTACTTAATATCCTAATGATTTTTGGCATAAAAGAAAAATCTATAATTGTGACCCATACAATGTATTGTTGGCTATTGCTACAAATATCCCCCAGCGACTTACACTGCTTCTGTGCTGCAGGGTCACATTTGTGATGTTGAGTATAAAGTTTGGAAACTTAATCAAAATGATTAATATTTAAAATGCATGCGGTATTAGGCTGGAAACATACTTTTCTCAATCTCAAGTATGCGAATGCAGACAGAAGTGTTTGGCCAGTGCGCTGTGATTGAACATAATTCACGTGCTCTCTTGCATTGGTCTGTCGGTAATAAAAGCAAACATGATGCTATTTGAGAACGGAAACTGAATGAATGATGATATATTTTGATGTGTATCAAATATCAAATATGTGACCACAAAACCAGTCACAAGGGTCAATTTTCGAAATTGAGATTTATACATCATCTGAAAGATGAATAAATAAGCTTTCCATTGATGTATGTTTTGTTTTTGGCCGAGATACAACTATTTGAAAATCTGGAATCTGAGGGTGCAAAAAAATCTAAATATTGAGAAAATCATCTTTAAAGTTGTCCAAATGAAGTTCTTAGCAATGCATATTACTAATCAAAAATTAAGTTTTGATATATTTACGGTAGGACATTTACAAAATATCTTCATGGAACATGATCTTTACTTAATATCCTAATGATTTTTGGCATAAAAGAAAAATCTATAATTGTGACCCATACAATGTATTGTTGGCTATTGCTACAAATATCCCCCAGCGACTTAGCACTGCTTTTGTGCTGCAGGGTCACATATGTGATGTTGAGTATAAAGTTTGGAAACTTAATCAAAATGATTAATATTTAAAATGCATGCGGTATTAGGCTGGAAACATACTTTTCTCAATCTCAAGTATGCGAATGCAGACAGAAGTGTTTGGCCAGTGCGCTGTGATTGAACATAATTCACATGCTCTCTTGCATTGGTCTGTCGGTAATGAAGCTCAGTGGGGCGATAGAGTCACATCCAGATGTTTCTGACATTAAACTGGATGTGTTATTATTCAGGTGAGTTATTATACTCATATTAGAAAGATGTGGACTTCGAAGGCCGTAAAGGTCAAACTGAGCATTGTTAAATAGGACGATCAAGCCTATGGAGGATTGGTCTTGTTGACCGCACAGAATCTATTGGAAGAGAACTGAACTGGACGATAAACTGTCTGATTTTTATTGTCCTCTTGCATTATCAGCACACGTTTGATGAGTCTCAGTCACACGTCAGTAAACAGCGCTGTGAGATCCAGTGTGAAGTGCCTGAATTCAGCGAAGAACTCAGATGACTCGGTGATTTAAACTAGTTTAAAGTCCGATGAAACAGCGCTGACAAACGGCAGAAGCACTGTGTGCAACGATACAGTCAGAAGACTTTCCAATCTACAAATCGCCATCATTTACCATGGATGTGCTCTGTGCACAAGCGTAGTGATGAACTTCCGCTGTCGCCAGAAGTCGGGATATCAGTTTCAGGTTTACTTTCACGTCGCCCAAAATGGCAGTATTTACTAGATGTCTCCAAGATCTGCCTAAAATAAGCATCAGTGATGTTCATCATATCGTATCCAACAAGCAAGCAGAACAAGGGACTCTACATATCAAGCTATCTGCACAAATACTAGTGTAATCTTCTGGCGACAGCGGAAACTACGTCACTACGCTTGTGCACAGAGCCTATTTACTGTAGTAACACTTAACTGCACCATGGTATTTTGGCAGAAATGTGGGATATGCATATCTAATTTTATTATATTATAAATGTAGACCTGTATTAAAGGAGTAATATAATTACAGTATTTTTTGTGATTAAGCTATAGCGTTTGTGCATTTATACTAAATGTATTTAGATTACTGTTTTTTAAATACAAATAGAAACCATATAGTTACATTTTTACCATGGCATCGAGGTGCTATATGTGTGGTTTTAACTGTGGTTATTATGATCTAAGTGTATGCTACTAGTGGTTCATTTTAATAAAACTCAAACAGTCAAAATAACTCAATTTCACCATATAAAAATTAGGTTATTACAATTTTTGCAGATGTTACTGCTTTTGATAATGAACATAAATTTACATTGCATCCAAACTCAAGCTACTACTACTATCAGCTCAAGCTACTGTCAAATGTGCATTTCTAAGAGACAAAAAAATGTAGTATTATTAATATTGCAGCCTGCACTGCAAACTGTGCTGAAGATACACGTCATCAAAGTCAGGAACACAATCCTGTTTCATGATTTGAAACAATATCACTCATTAGAACATGCAGAAACTAAGAAATTAATTCTTCTACTAAGATATTTATTTTTTAAAGGAAAAATGACTGGAAAAGTGTAAAGAATTAAAAAGCGTGACGTGTTTGTCATGTTCTGACCATAAAGAGTAGTTTAAAGTAACGGTCTGGTTAAGCAAGAATCTGCCTTTAAACTTGAAAGAAATACAAATTTGAAATTTATCATGATTATTATTGATATCGACTGAAATTAAAAATATATATATATTGTCATAATTTTTTGGGCCGTATCACCCAGCCCTAACTATCTAAGTAATAATCTATTAAGATTAACATTTAAACCACTTTAAAGCTTTTTTTTTTTTTGGTAACTTGAGACATTTGATTAAGTTGAAACACAATACTTACATTTAAAATTGTAATCAGGCATTTTCTCTCAAAACAAAAAAATCCTGTCGTCACTGGAGTGCAATGAATCTTGGGATAGTCTGGGCCACAAAGGATCCATCTGTTGTGTCCTTCTTGGTTCGGGAAACAAAAGACGCGTTTTGAGAATGCATTTGAAGGAGCCTTCGAGTTAGCACAGCCTTCATCGTGCCGCTCCGAATGCAGCCTGTGATTTAAACTAGTTTAAAGTCCGATGAAACAGCGCTGACAAACGGCAGAAGCACTGTGTGCAACGATACAGTCAGAAGACTTTCCAATCTACAAATCGCCATCATTTACCATGGATGTGCTCTGTGCACAAGCGTAGTGATGAACTTCCGCTGTCGCCAGAAGTCGGGATATCAGTTTCAGGTTTACTTTCACGTCGCCCAAAATGGCAGTATTTACTAGATGTCTCCAAGATCTGCCTAAAATAAGCATCAGTGATGTTCATCATATCGTATCCAACAAGCAAGCAGAACAAGGGACTCTACATATCAAGCTATCTGCACAAATACTAGTGTAATCTTCTGGCGACAGCGGAAACTACGTCACTACGCTTGTGCACAGAGCCTATTTACTGTAGTAACACTTAACTGCACCATGGTATTTTGGCAGAAATGTGGGATATGCATATCTAATTTTATTATATTATTAATGTAGACCTGTATTAAAGGAGTAATATAATTACAGTATTTTTTGTGATTAAGCTATAGCGTTTGTGCATTTATACTAAATGTATTTAGATTACTGTTTTTTAAATACAAATAGAAACCATATAGTTACATTTTTACCATGGCATCGAGGTGCTATATGTGTGGTTTTAACTGTGGTTATTATGATCTAAGTGTATGCTACTAGTGGTTCATTTTAATAAAACTCAAACAGTCAAAATAACTCAATTTCACCATATAAAAATTAGGTTATTACAATTTTTGCAGATGTTACTGCTTTTGATAATGAACATAAATTTACATTGCATCCAAACTCAAGCTACTACTACTATCAGCTCAAGCTACTGTCAAATGTGCATTTCTAAGAGACAAAAAAATGTAGTATTATTAATATTGCAGCCTGCACCGCAAACTGTGCTGAAGATACACGTCATCAAAGTCAGGAACACAATCCTGTTTCATGATTTGAAACAATATCACTCATTAGAACATGCAGAAACTAAGAAATTAATTCTTCTACTAAGATATTTATTTTTTAAAGGAAAAATGACTGGAAAAGTGTAAAGAATTAAAAAGCGTGACGTGTTTGTCATGTTCTGACCATAAAGAGTAGTTTAAAGTAACGGTCTGGTTAAGCAAGAATCTGCCTTTAAACTTGAAAGAAATACAAATTTGAAATTTATCATGATTATTATTGATATCGACTGAAATTAAAAATATATATATATTGTCATAATTTTTTGGGCCGTATCACCCAGCCCTAACTATCTAAGTAATAATCTATTAAGATTAACATTTAAACCACTTTAAAGCTTTTTTTTTTTTTGGTAACTTGAGACATTTGATTAAGTTGAAACACAATACTTACATTTAAAATTGTAATCAGGCATTTTCTCTCAAAACAAAAAAATCCTGTCGTCACTGGAGTGCAATGAATCTTGGGATAGTCTGGGCCACAAAGGATCCATCTGTTGTGTCCTTCTTGGTTCGGGAAACAAAAGACGCGTTTTGAGAATGCATTTGAAGGAGCCTTCGAGTTAGCACAGCCTTCATCGTGCCGCTCCGAATGCAGCCTCTGAATTACTGAGACACTTGAGTCTTCAAACTCTTGCTCTGCCATGACACTAGTTGACCTGAAAGAGAAAGCTGACCATAAAAGAAGGCATTTACGCTAATTCCTGCCACAGCGCCCCTTTCTGCAGTGCTGTGAATGCAGTGTGTACTTGCATTGGGTTATGAGATGAGCTCCGACTCACTTTAGATGCATCTGTGTTCCTGTACTCACGTAGAGTACGTTTCAACAAAACATGAAAATGAACAGGGCTTTTTCTCAAAACTCATTGATCAGAAAATGTCAGTCTTCTCTCTGGTGACGTGTGCAGGATTTCTCCAATAATTTTGTGCACTTAAACTCCGCCCCTGCAAGCACATCTGCCACGCCCACATCTCAACAACCAATCAACAACAGCGTAGAACCAATTTTTTTCTTTGTTGATAATCTGTTGTCTTGTAATCTGTTTCACTGTGACTGTAAAGCTGGTACTGGTGTACCGAAATGGAAAGATGCATGGTTTTTCATGGGTATGAATGCTCATTTGACTCTATTCAATGCACCTGAATGTATTTCTGGAGTGAAAATCAGTGTAATTCTCCAGTTGAATGTCTATTTTTACCTAATTTGCAGTCTGGAATGATGATTGCGCCTGTAATAGCCAATCTCGGACCATTGGAGGCGCTCTCTTTTCGACCTAATCCGAGTGAGGTATAGCACAGTCTGCATCCCATCACAATCTATTCAGTTCTTCGAAATCGTGGCAGTGTGTTTGTCCTCAGATAAGACTGGAGTAACACTGCATTTCTTCCTCTGACAGGTGGAAGAGATTTTTACCCTGACGTTTGAGCATCTATGTCAACCCCAAAACAGAGGCTACACACACTTCCGCACTGGAGACCGTTATGGGTACACACTCCCGGTGTTTCACAGCCCTAAGCATCGAGTCTGGGGTCTTACAGCAGTGGCTCTGGATCACACGCTTAAAATTATTATGCCACCAAAGCAGCTGTTGGACCACAGCGTGGTTCAGTAGCACCTTCAGCAGACAGACTGCTTGTAAATCATAGTGGTCCATATAAAACTTCATTTTCAGTTTCCAAAAGATGTTTGTGGTTCAATATGACACAGCCATTTCTCTGAGATTCTCCCATTGGTATGTTTAGGGTGTTGGGTTCGTGACGACTGCAACAGAATGAGTACAGTGTGCTCATATTGCAAATGTAGTATATCATTCAGGTGTTCTATACATATAGAAAACATGTATACTTGGGCACAGTATGCATGCTATCCACATTATTTTTCGACGTGGAAGTCAGTTGTTTTCTGTGAATGTGTGAGACTTCTGCTTCATTAGCCGCTAATGACAAAAATGACAAAGTGCGGTAAATGGTAAAACGTTGCACTACAATCCAGTGTGTTCATAATTAAGGTCATATATTTAAATGATATGGTAAGAAACACCAGTTTGCAAAATCATGCAGCAAAACGAGTTGTTTTATACAGCTTAAAATATTTGGAAGCGGATGACACCGGAAGCCAGACGCATTCAATTTACAAATTTCCACAGCCACGCTTACGGGAAAAATAAGGTGGATACACTAAAGAAATACTGTATTTAATATGGTAATAATAAGAGCTGTAGGAACCCAATGAGAAGAATGGGACATACACAGACAGCGGTGTGCTTCACGTCTCTTCTTACAGTTTACTGGTCAGATACACAGTTTATAGACTCTTCTTGTTGTGTGTATTAATTTATCATAGAACAATGATTTTCAAAAGTGATTGGATAGCCAAATGAACAAATTAAGGCCTCCTATTTCAGCTTACCATATATGTAGGTGTTTAACCTCTACACATATGTGGATACTTGTACCTCTTTTCAAGACTATAGATGTGTCAACTATTACATAAAACACACGTGAAAATCAGAACAACAAATTATGTGTGCTATTGTGCGGGTACACAAAACGTTATTTTGTAACAAAAAAAGTGACTTATAAAGGTAAGGCAAATAATATCTTCAACAAAGAGAAGGGAACTTGTGTGTATTTATCTGAGGCACTTAATATCCTTACAACAGTCATTTTATGAACATTACATTTGTAGTGTCTCCTACAAGTCAATTACCTAAAGCAAAGGATCTTTCAGTAGGGATTACAAAAAAAATCTGTTTTTAGTCACATTATTATTTATTCTCTTGCACTGAAGCATGCAAGTCTGAAAACATTCAGTAATCTGTTAAATCTGCCTAGTTTTATGTGTTTGTTATTCTCTGTTGTCCTGCTAAGGAAGAAAAGCCAGCTCCTCGTGAAGGTGCTGCTTGAGCCAGGGCATCAGAGAGAACACGCTGATGTGGAAATCTCGCGCATCAAGAGGCCAGTCGACTCTAACATCTGTTTGTGAGCCACAGATCTGCTTAGTGCCCCAGCTCACGACTGCCACCTGTGGGAGAGGAACAGAAATCAAATCACTTCAGAAGTGTGTTGCTCTGCTTAGATTTAACGTACCACTTTACAACACTTCAGTGTGCTCTCTGGAGTTTTCTGCATCTGATGTTTTTCAAGTCAATGAGAAACTAAAGGCAATGGCGAAATGTAACCACTCACTTAGTGGCAGTTTGTGTGAGAATTCTCCAAGTAGGCTGATGAGTGAATGAATAGTGATAAAACCTGGTCTTCTTACAGACAATTAAATGCTGAAATTGATGCTGCCTGTTGTGATGCACAGTCACGATAAGGTATCTTCCAGTTCAATTTGCATTATTATCCCACTTCACACGTGTACATTAACCAGTTAACTCTTTTCTGCTCCCTAATGCCACTTCCCTTCTTGCATTTGTTGAAATATCCTGGTGATAAAGAAATTCACCCTAGAAATGTCTTACTTCCTGCCAATGATAAAGATTCTTTAAAGAACATGTCATTATTTTCCATAATTTTGCCTCGGAATTAAACATTTTAAAGATGTTTAGAATGAATATTTATTGTTTGTTTGTTTGTCTTTATTAAGGCAAAAGAAATGTGAAAATAAACTCCAAAGCACTCACTTGGAAATATCGCATCCTCTTACGTAGGAAGAGAGCTCCGCCAGAATCCCCTGCAAAGAATTACACTCACTATGTGTAGTCTAAGTGTGTGGATATAAATATATATATTTAGTTTCTTCAACCAAACCTTTACAAGTCATTTCATGTCTGTTTTTCTCTGTTCCTCCAGTGCACATGAACCTGTCTGTGATCACTTCCAACAGAGATGCGGTGCTGTGCACATTAATGGTGGATCTTGCCTTCTGTATGCATTCACCTCTCTGCAGAAGTAAACAATACATGTGAGAATACATAGATATAAAAATAAATGAACACATAAATGAATAGATATAAAAATAAACAAATTATACAAAAAAATTAAATGAATAAAGAAAATAATAGTTTAAATTATAAATGTATTTCAGCAAGTCATTTATGCCTTTATTTTAATATTATTAATTCATTCAATTACTTTCTCAATGTTATTGCTAGTTCAAAAAGAACTAGCCTTTTTAAAACTCTCCAAAAACATCCCGATTTCAAACCAGCCCGTCATATACACGCCTGAAACTGCTACTCTATCCACTCTATGAGGGAGCCCTCACCTGAATTCTGATTTCTGTCACACCTGAAGCTCATCCTCAGCCATTACACACTATAAATAGACTGTTTGGTTCATTCATTCCTTGCGAAGTCTTGCCAATATCACTACTGCTTTTCTGAGCGTTTTCTCCGAAAACAGGGAGCGAGGACATTTCCTAACTAACCATTGATACTACAGTGAATGACCCATCCCACCCACTTACAAGTTAGAGCCTTGCATCACAAACTTGTCCTGTTTTATTTAACCAATAGACCCGCTAATCTGTTAATCCTGGGCTTTTCTTGGCTGGCCCATCATGATCCTGTTATATCCTGGAGGGAGAGTGAGATTCAAAAGTGGAGTGTGACCTGCCTCGATACCTGTATGAGTCCTGTTAAGCCCATGCCATGCCTCTCCACCACTTTATACACATCATCTAACCAGCTACTACCAGGTGTGCTGACTGAATACAAGGTTTGTTATATGGTGATCAACAAGAGCAAGGCAACTGATCTCCCTCCCCACTGACCCCAGGATTGCACCATCAACCTGCTTCCAGGTACTCAGTCTCCCAAGAGTAAGGTTTATCCCCTGTCTTTGCCTGAGACCAAGGCCATGGAGGACTATGTGGAGGAGGCATTATGGTTAGGGTTCATCCATCTATCCACTTTCCCAGCTGCTGCAGGTTTTTTCATTGTGGAAAAGTAAGATGGCACTCTTAGACTGTGTTTTGACTACTAAGGGCTAAACGCCAGTTCCCATACCCCTTGCCCTTGGTCGCAGCAGCTATCGAACAGGTACGTGAGGCTCATTTCTTTTCTAAACTTGATCTCCGCAGTGATTAAAATATCATCCGCATGATGAATGGAAGACTGCTTTCATAACCAATATGGGGCACTATAAATATCAGGTAATGCCTTTTGGGCTGTCCAATGTTCCATCCATCTTCCAGTCCTTCATGAATGAGATTTTTACAGACATGATCAATAAGTGTGTCATTGTTTACATCAACATTAATCTATTCTCCCACATTGGCTTCTCATGTTTGTCATGTTCGGCAGGTGCTTCAAAGATTGGCGGATAGTCACCTGTTTGTAAAAGCAGAGAAATGTGAGTTTCATGTTTGAGCTATTTCTTTACTGAGGTACATGCTACCATACTGTGATGCCGAGTCCCGACGCGTTGAGACAAAACCAATAAAACCCATTATAAACGAGGCATTTGTTGCATCCAGTGGGGACATAATTACTGATTATAATGACTTATGCTGTCTTTTTACGCGTTGCGTATTTAAACGAGTAGTTTAAACGAGGCGTTTTAGGAGGGCGTGGAGTCTTTACGCTAATTCCTAATAAAGTAAATTCCTAATTGACTTTAGGGATCTTATCTATTCACGAACAGCTTGTATCACTCCAAAGAGAAAGGAAAACTTTAAATCGCATCATATGACCCCTTTAAGGAATTGCAACATTTTCTTGGATTCACTCATTTTTACAGGCTGTTCATTAGAAACTTCTGCTTGGTCACAGCACCCCTCACATCCTTGCTCCAGAGTTCCCCCAAGATCCTCCCGTGAACACCTGCAGTGGTTCAGGCCTTCTGGGAGCTCAAATCACATTTCACCAGGGCCCCTACCCTCAAAACACCCGGACCCCTCATTACCATTTGTGGTAGAAATGGATGCATCTGACACTGAGATAGGATCTGTTTTTTTCTCAGTGCCATGGTTCATCACCCAAATTGTTCCCCTGCGCTTTCTTTTCCAGGAAACTCAACTTGGCAGAGAGAATTATTGGCCATGATTGGCCTGCATTTGAGGAGTGGAGGCATTGGCTGGAGGGGCACAACACCTTTTTCTTGTACTCGCAGATCATCAAAACTTGGAATATATTCAAAGAGCCAAGAGACTCAACACCTGGCAAGCCCAATGGGCCCTCTTCTTTTTTCGTTTGCAATTCACTGTGACCGCCCTGGATCCAAGAACACCAAGGCCAATGCCCTCTCCAAACTAAACGCTCCAGTGCAGCAGGAAAATGCCCCATGGTCTATACGGTCTCCTTCACTTGTGGTCATTGCTGTTCAGTGGAATATCATGGGGGGAAAATCAGCAGGTTCAAGCAGAAGAACCAGCTCCTACCCAGTGCCCGGTGGATAAGACATTTGTCCCCTCATTGTTAAGGGAGAGAATAATTCAGTGGGTGCATTACATCCAGGGGAGAACAGAACAATCCAATTGGTTTGGAGTCGGTTTTGGTGGCTTTCGTTGTCAAGAGAAGTCAGCCTTTACGTCAAGAACTGTACTGTCTGTGCCCAGTCCAAATCACTGAACTTACTGCCAACTGGTCTCCTGCAACCTCTGTCTGTTCCACACTGCCCTAGTCCCACAGTTGACTTTCTGACCGATTTGCCTCCTTCACAAGGTAATACCACCATCCTAGCTGTAATCTGCTGTTTTTCTAAGGCCTCTTCTCTTATTCCACTCAAGAAACTACCCTCTGCGTGGGAAACTGCTGGTGCCTCTTCAGTCATGTGTTCTGGTTTTTCGGCCTGCCTGAAGTCATCTTATCTGACCGAGGGCCTCCAGTCATATCCCGGGTGTGGAAGGCTTTCTGTGGTCTGCTCAACATTAATGTCACAATTTGTCTCTCCACCCAGAATGACTATGACCCAGACCCAGGGGAACTAATGCTTCTGCATGCCCTCGGGAGGGGCCTAAAAGGGAGGGTAATGCCATATACACACCTGAATCTCATCCTCTGCCATTACACACTATAAATATACTGTTTGGTCCGCTCATTCCTTCCAGAGTCTTGCCAATATCACTATTGCATTTCTGAGTATTTTCTCTTGTTTTGGAGTTACTCCATCTTTCGACCCCTGCCTGTTTGCTTTGGTTTGCGTTTTTGGATTTGTTGTTTGGACTCTTATTTGCTTTGGTTTTGATCTCTGCCTGAATTTCTCAACTCTGCTTCTGTTTTGCCTCAAAGACTTTATGCTGCGAATGAAACCTAAAGCGTCTTCAGTCTCTAACATGTCACAGCCCCATCTCAGAAACCACAAATCTTGTGATGTTACTACATTCAGACCTTCACTAAACTTCACTAACATTATAAGTGAACATCAAGGCAAATAATAATTAAATAATTAAAAAGAGTTTGATGCCATTTAACCTTTAACAAGTTCAATTATGTTAAAAACAGTTTCACTTGGAACACTTGGAACTGTTTGAATGAATCTTGTGTTAACAACCCCTTACTTAGTCTGTGCTGCCTGCTCTGAGACACTTCCATCTGCAGAGCCATACATGAATGCACTTTCTGACCAGCAATGCTGCTGAATGCCTAACCCAACCCTAACTTCAATAAAATGATAAGCTCCACGCTAATGAACCCCACTAACCACTAACCCTCTAATTTGATGTGATATATGGCTTGTTAGATAGTCATATATATGGAATAGTGTTATGTGGATTTGTAAGGACATCACTCACTTTTGCACCAGTATGTATGAGCGTGTTTGATCGATGAGTTCCCTGTCTGATGAACTCAGCTGGAGTCTCATCCAGATGAATCAGGATCTTTTCTGATCATGCACACATTCATTTCATTATAGAATGACTTTAACTATAGACTAAGAGTATTCTTTAAACTTTGATGTTATTTACTAGAATGTCTGCATAATTTATTCATTGAATTTTATGAAAACTCACTGTGCTGGTCACATGTAGAGTCTGGACCCAATCTGAGAGCCCGATTTGACGAACCGGTACAAGGCAAACAAATGGGCCTGTGTACAAAGTTGAAGATGTAATGCATTCATTGGCAAAACAGAACTAGATGTCAATACAGCACATCACATGCCCCACTAGGCACAGCAATATACTGGACCATTGATACACAGTTTTAAAGGATGCTTTCTGTCCCCTGAGTGGCTTTGGGACACTCTGATCAATGTTTGGTTCATCTTCTACCAGCCTACAAGCAGAAACTTAAATCTGCTAAGCCTGTAGTAATAACTGGACTAAAGAGATGGACTAATGAAGTAGAGTGGGATTTATAAGCCTGCTTCGATTGCACTGATTGGAGTGTTTTTGAGGCTGCAGCCACTGATCTAGATGAGCTCACTGACACCGTGACATCCTACATCAGTTTCTGTGAGGACATTTGTGATCCAACCAGGACTTATTTAACATTTAACAACGACAAACCTTGGTTCAGTGCAAAACTCAAACAGCTTTTCCAGACCAAAGAGGATGCCTACAGGAGTGGGGACACAGCCTTGTACAAACAGGCCAAATACACACTGAATAGGGAGATAAGAGTAGCTAAGAGAAGCTACTCTGAAAAGCTGAAAAAACCTTACATTATTGTGGAAGGGCTTGAAAGCCATCACCAGCTACAAGACCCCATCCTCCAGCACTGTGGAGAATCAACTTTTAGCCAACAACTTGAATGAGTTTTACTGCAGGTTGAAAAGCCTGTTCTCACACCCCACACTCGCTCTGACCGTTTCACAACACAGCCATCAACCCCACCACTGCTTCTCAGCCTGCACTTAAGATCTGTGAAGATGATGTAAGCAAAGTATTCAGGAAACAGAAGAGAAGGAAAGCCAAAGGCCCAGATGGTGTCTCTCCAGCCTGCCTCAAAGCCTGTGGTGTCCATCTGTCATCCATCTTCACATTGATCTTCAACAGATCACTGGAGCACACACTTGGTGAATAAAGCCGATTCTGATTCTGACTCAGATTCAGTAATAAACTCAAAAGCAGTCTGCTTTTTAAGTTGTGACTAAACGCTAACCTTTTAAAAACTCAGGTTGTACATTACAGTCTTTGGGATCAAGCAACAAGGACACCAATATTTTAATGGTTTAGAAAAGATGAATCACTGTCTGGCCAAAATATATTTTTTTGCTAGTGCTAAAGCACACAATGAATGCATATTAGCACGATTTGTTGTTTGGTTTTAGGATCTTTTAGAGCAGTTGGACCTGGAAATGGTGATGTCAGACTTAACAAGCAGGTCAGTGAATTTTTAATGCAATAGAATGAAAAGGAACATTGTAGCTGAATCTTACCTTGCCTTCATAGATATTGTTATGTTTTCACTCATCCTGATCAGAGCAATGTCGTAATCATAAAACTCTTTTACATTCTTGTCCTTAAGGCCTCTCAAATTAAACTGTGGATGAAGAAACAGCTCCATGGCTTTAACTTCACCATTACCTTTGTAAGATAATTGAAGAATAGTAAATGTTCATATTGTAGTTTAGCTCTTTGTTTGACAGCATAAAGTTAACAAGAAATCACAGTTGACCCAATATACTGTTCCTGATCTTATTGTTAATGATTCATCTCTGAACGTTATTCTAAAGAAAAAATGCTGTTTTAATCTTTTATCAAATTGGCTTTCTTTTTCAGCCAGCTTTATAATAGATGCTCTTTGTGTGGAAAATAGCATTCGTTACCTTGAATTATTCCATAAAATTGCTAGAAGAAAAAAAAAACAGTTCTTACCATGGCGAATTGTTATATCAGCAGCACTGGCTGATGAAACAGGTTCATCTGCATCCACTTTTATTAAGCAGTGTGCAGCTGTCAACACCATGCTTTTCGTCAGTATAGACCCTCTGCATGTTCGAACTCCCTAGATGACAAAAATAACTGCAAAAATATAATCTACCATCTGAAAGCAGGTAGGCAAAGCAAGGTGAAAGAGCTAAATGCACCAGTTTTTTAAATAAACAAAACAAAGATAATCCACCGGAAAAACATGCAACAGAATAAGCAACACAAGACAAAGAACTAAAACACAAGAGAAAGATATACACAGGATAATGGGACAAAACTAGAAACAGGTGAGGAAAGTAATCAGTGTCTATGGCAACAAATGAGAAGCGGGAACAAAACACAGCAAAACAAGTTAGAACAAAATAAAAGTCTATGAAATTTCATTAAAACTCCTGATATGAATTTACCAACCCAAATAATATTGACGTGCCAAGGTCTGGTGTAAGTGGTTTCAGAATTGTGCTGCTCCTCTTGTGCCAATCCACACTTAGTCACAGCAGAATCACCTAGGCAAGATGGAGGATATTTACATTGTGGGATTCCAACATTGAAGGGATTGTATTTTGGAAAAGAGACATTTTAAGGACAACAAAAAACATCATACATCTTCATACTTGTAATAACTTTAATTTGGCTTTCTTTACAACTGTTTTATTGGAGTTGCTGTGATTCTACTGTGCAGATGACCTGTGCAGACAACTTCACCACGGACTATGATTGGTGAGAAAAGTTTAATATAATACCTGCAATTCTGAATTGTTATTGATACTTTATTTAAAAGTTAATCTCTTACATTGCCTATAGCTTATCCTGATTCCACTACTGCTGACCCTAGTACACATTCCTATTCAGCTCAAAATATTGATATCTGATATAACTGAAAAAGCAGAGAGATAACAGACAGAGAGAAGCAATATTCAAGTTTGAATATTGAAGCTGAAAATAAACATGTTAATTTTCCAGATAACAATTCAACCGGCGTCCCTAGAGGTTCTCTCATATCTGATTACTTACTGATCATTTGATTGAACACAAGTCCGAGATGTCTGTAGTCCTTTAGAACAAAAATATGCTGCTCGTCTTTCTTGGAAGAGGCAATGCCTGTGAGTTCTTTTCTGTTAACTTCTTGTCCAACAGCAAATACATACACATCTGTGAAACATATAAATGTAAATAACTGGTAAAACTAAGATGAAAAACATTATCTAAAAACATACCCCTTGGGTAGAGATCACGAAATTAAAGGCCTTCACAACCACACTGCTAAAATACACCCACAAGGAAATAATGGATGGTAAACTGGCTCGCTTAGACTAGCCTCATTTACATGAACCCTAATAATCTGTTAGTAATCAGATAAATGGCTCTGTCAGATTGAAAAGCCTTCACGTAAACACCTCAAATGATCCAACTCTGTTTACATACGTTTATAAATATGCATATTACATGCTTATTTATGACTTACAAACTGGTCAGATAAATTACTTATTAAATATTTCCTAAGAAAGCTCTTCTGACATATTCTTGCATGTCAGCTTTGCTTTTAGGTATGTCATTAAGGTAAAAACAACAATTAAATAACATTATAGTGGTGCTATAAAAATCCATCCTGTGCAAACCCCTAAAAAAAAGCCTTACAAAGACACACTGTAGATGGTTAATGAACATCTCATCTTTTTGTAGCACACAACCAATGTTCACAACCAACGTCTTGAGATGGTAAGATAATTGTGTGATATTTGAGCAATTATTTAAAAAAAAATAGTCTGATAGAGTTAGACATTAGGGTTAAAATTTCATGAGACTAACTAACCCAAGAGCTCCTCTTGTGTGTGGTCTACACTGCTGGGTTTGTAGCCGAATAAGTTTCGGATCATAGGTAAAATGCTTTGTGGGCTGGGTCCCATATTGGCGTGGCCTGGAAATACACACAAGCAAAATAAGTACATAATTAAAGGACCTTTAAAATGACATACAGCACCTTTTAAGAAGCAGTTGAATGCATGATGTTGTAAGTCAGTGGAGACCAATGATATTTGGACCCCACAGTTCCCATTTTCTTTTATGTTCCCAATAAGTCACATGACATAAGAATTTGGTAAATGATTACTTAAATTTTCATATTTTGGTCAAATACTTCTACAGTATAGATTACAGATTTACACTTTTGTGTCAGACCTACACCGTTGGCTCTGCATATGTTGGTGACATCATAGCCCATGTCGTACTGACCAGTGTTTCTTTGTTCACGGAGCCAGGGTTGAGAAACACAGTCGTAGACTGAGTAGTCTACGTAGTCGTAGACTGATGTTCAACTCTACAGAAGTGTAACTATGTGTCGCATCTGCACTGACAGCAACAACACACACATATATTGGTGTGGGTCTGACACAGAAGTAAAACTGGCCCTTTATACTTACCCTTCTCTTACTGGTCAGTCTTACCATCAGTTGCAATGATTATGACGTTCTGAGTCTCATTGAACTGCCTTCTTTTATTCTCCCTGAGAAGAGCAAGCTGATTATACACCCTTTCTAGGGCTTTATGCAGATTGGTGCCTCTCTTACTCCCGTGGCCTAAAACGAAACATATCATTTCATAAAACTGGAAACTGGAGTTAGAACGCTGCAATAAAAATGTAGTAAAACAAATGGCTCAAAAGCCAAATGGCTCAATGAACATACTTTTGTCGCTAAACTCTTTTAATTTCCTCAAGACATAATGCACATCTTGACTCAGGTCGTTTGTAATGGACACAATTTCTTTGGGCTCACTGGCATATGAGACGATGTCAAACCTCATGTTGACTTCATAGCTATCCAGCTGGAAGATTAACAACATGTTATTATTGCACAAGACTTTATTTTGATTCCAACACATGATGGCTGTTTTATGCTGTAGAGGTGGAAAATAAAAGTAGTATGTACGCATACAGTATATGAAGAGCAGCGATGCATAGAAGTGAAATCATCAGTTATTTCTCCTAGACTGCTTTCTATATAAAAAAAATGTGTTATTACTATGGTATCACCATAACACTAACTAATCACCTAGTGAGCAAAGAACTACCGATATGTAAAATCTTTGGAGTGACTCCCATCGGTGCAGAATTGTGAATAATGTCGATCTACAGTAATGTAAAAGTCGCATGAATTCTATATGACTGTTCAGACTGAGGTCGCACTGCAAAACATTGAACCTGCATCTGATTTAGTACCACATATGGAAGTGGTCCAAATCAGTGTTTTTCTGCCGTTCAGAGATCTGAGTCACATATGAGCAAAAACATTGGATTTGGCCCAGTTGTGCTGGACATAGCCTACCTTACCCCAATCTCCTCTCTAATACTTGAGGAGAAAAAGGCTATAATTCAGGCATCACCAGGTTAGCGAGGGCCATCTGTGCATTCAGCACATTAACAGGCGATGCACAAAAGGAGTGAATGAACTATATACATTTTTAACAGCAATATATCATTGAACATAAGCCTATCATAAGCCTACAGTCCACAGCTATTTATTTTGCTATTGTAGCAGTGAGCTATAGACCCAGTATAATTGGCTGGCGTTACCCAAACAGGTGAACCTATCAGTGTTCATACTTTATCATGGTTGGGTAAGTTTCATGAGCCAATTAGTGCCTGTGTGCCTATAAAAGGGGGAGTGTTTGGTTGCTTGGGATGCATCATCCTTGGTACCGCCCCTTTGTGACATGTGGCGCTTTGAATGAGTGCCAGCAGTTGGGTTATCCTCCTGTCTGTCGTGTGCTGGCTGTTGGCCAGTTTTCAGGTTTGTCCCGGTTTTAAAAATGCCTTTTTGCCTGTTAAATAGAGCCTTATTACCTTGTTTGTTTTTAGATATGGGCCTGCCAGTAGCTGTAAGCCTGCGTGGTGAGCGACCATGTGTATTGCAGCATTGTACTGTTTTCTTGGTAAGTATGGCTAGTTTTAAAGTTTGTTTTAAACAAGTTTTTATGCATAACTTTCGTTTAATGTCCAGCAGGATTGATTGCACGTCCAGGGGTTTCTAATGATCTTAATTGAAGCCTAATGAACCTCACGTAACTGACTGCACTTCTGCTCTACTCTACTTTACTCTGTTTTGTTCTGTCTGGAATTCATCTGGGTCCGTCTGTTATATTTTGTTTTGTATTGTTTGGTGTGTGGATTTAGGTGGGAGGGGTTGGCCATGGTACCTTGTACTGCGTGTCCACATGGAGTGCTGTGTTTAATATTACTGATTTTTCACGTGTGTGTGTCATGGGTATTGAGTGTGGGGTAGAAATCTGAGGGTCTTTGCTGGCCACCTCCCCCTTTATTTTCTCATTGTATGGTACTTATTTTATAAGTTACTGGTAAAGACGTGTGATGTATTGAGACCTGGTGTGAAGTGTTGTATGTGTATGTTAATAAAGTGACTTTTGTTTATACCCATTATTATTATTATTATGCTCACCCTGCCTTTGGCAATGAACCTGTGTCCCTTTGTTTAGGGCTGTTATGTCCCGGTGTATTCTGGGTGGCGTAGTCGACTATAGGATTTCTCTTATTATTGGTAATATCCCAAACTCCTGACCACTTACTGCCACACTATCAAGGCTGTTTTTTCTTTGCCATTTTATCAATCTCTTCGAGGTAGACTTAAGGCTGATACAGTACACAATTTTAAAATCTGAACAGATTTTAAAACGATTGATATCATACACTTATAGACTTTGTAAACGGTCACAGAGGTAAAACTGGTCATCATACATTACACGACTGAGGATCACACACTTTAAAGTTCTGATCACAACAAACTCACGCAGAAATGTGTGCATTGTTACTAGGAGACGCGTGACAAATGAAAACAATAAGTGTTCTAAAATCAGCTCAAAATATCAAACATGTTTGATATCCTCTGACTGGATGGTCTGTGACCATCACACACTACGCGATTTTCTATGAAATCTGTCAACTCTAATCTGCAGACTGGCTCTGACTTTCGGTAACTAGCATCAACTTATCCAAACTGTACGTTGGTGGAAAAATCTGGGCTAAAGTCATTTTTAGTGTATTTGAGCCTGTAGGGGCCGTACACAGAAGACACGCCACTGCATTCTATCTATGCTATTTTTTTTAATTGTGGTCTGTGTACATGTATCAGATGCACACAAGATGTCAACAAGACATCTGGACTTTGGTCATTGCTCTGCATCCAGCTGTTTTAAACAGAAAACTAATTCTGATTCAATTAATTTTTACATAATTAACATGTTTAATTGACACCCTTATTTTAAGATACAGTCCACTTCTTTAAGTTTTCAAGTTATAAAAACACAAACCTTACGGACGAGTTGAATGGTGGCATTTTTTGCTAAGTGAAAACTCTCCTGTGAAATGCTGGCTGATGTGTCCAAAAGGATGAAGACATTCAGGCGACCTTCTGCAACCCTGACAGTCCTGCCCAAAGATTGCGCTAGTGATTGTGCAATAAACAGAACAAAAGTAAACAACTGAAATAATAGGCAGTAACAGTAATGATCTTTACTTGTGCACAAGAAAATTATGTTTTCCAAAATTCTCTTTTCACCTTTCTTTTTGAAGTCAGGGAGAGACACGTCCATGACTGCGGTCAGAGATCCTCCTAAAGCCTGAGCTATGACATCTGGTTGATCAAATGAGTACTGGGCTAAAAAAAAAAAAAGAATATGTTTACATTGTGTCAGTTCCACTACAATATGTAAATTAACCTCTGTTTCTCTGTTTTGACTGACCATAGCAGCGTGGTTCTGCCCCGCTCCATTCCCTTGAATCCAAACACTGTCTCTCAGAGGGGCCAAGTATATCAAGACCTGACTGACACAGATAGTGCACTTTGTCTCCGATAAGGAAACGTTCCCCAGAACGTAAGGCCCCTGGAGGTGTACCTGGGTTTTTACAGTCCTCCGCTGGAACAAGGAACAATATATAGTTTAGTCATGAAACTCTAGATGGTGCAGGCTGATGGGTTGTTAACGTAACCGATGATATTCAGAGAGTTAAACGACTTGGCCCAAGCTGATTGGTTCATGCTGCATATGCAGCAATGAGCTTACTGCCTTGCATTTATATGACTGGCTAGCATTCACTAGAGATTCCTGCAGCACACTTTCAGAGTTTCTCTGAAACCCTCCACCTCCCCCAGCTCCACCTGTATAGATCTGCTATGGGTTATTTTATATGATATTTGTGCTGCAGCAGCATGTCTTAAATACTCATGGCACCGTATCGCCGTATGCATTGGCAGTAGCAAGTTTCTGTACTTGCTTGCAGCAGCAGCAATAATCTACAACTACAGCAATAACCAACAGCACCAGCAGCGTAGCAGATCTGTTCCGCCAGGACAAAATACATTAACATTGTCATATCCATCACAATGCTAAAATCTTCCGAGAGTTGTCATGATTAAAATATAGTTATGAATAATATACTATATATTTTATGTACAATTTCCTGCACAACTTATTTCTGCGTTCTACTTAATCCAGCTCAGGCGTTTCCGGTAACAGCATTAAGTGCACTTAGGCTGCGTTTACACTGGCACAAAAAATCAGATCTTTCGCTCACATCTGACACAGGTCGGAATTTGTTGCACACGTGTGAACACAAAAACCCGCACGAGATCTGATTTTTTTGCATCCGATCTGAGCCACTTCCAAATGTGGAGTTTAATCGGATACACATCTGATATCTAGACATCCGACCTACGTCTAAACACACATATCCGATTCTCCACAGATCTGGGTCCGTCTGTTATATTTTGTTTTGTATTGTTTGGTGTGTGGATTTAGGTGGGAGGGGTTGGCCATGGTACCTTGTACTGCGTGTCCACATGGAGTGCTGTGTTTAATATTACTGATTTTTCACGAGTGTGTGTCATGGGTATTGAGTGTGGGGTAGAAATCTGAGGGTCTTTGCTGGCCACCTCCCCCTTTATTTTCTCATTGTATGGTACTTATTTTATAAGTTACTGGTAAAGACGTGTGATGTATTGAGACCTGGTGTGAAGTGTTGTATGTGTATGTTAATAAAGTGACTTTTGTTTATACCCATTATTATTATTATTATGCTCACCCTGCCTTTGGCAATGAACCTGTGTCCCTTTGTTTAGGGCTGTTATGTCCCGGTGTATTCTGGGTGGCGTAGTCGACTATAGGATTTCTCTTATTATTGGTAATATCCCAAACTCCTGACCACTTACTGCCACACTATCAAGGCTGTTTTTTCTTTGCCATTTTATCAATCTCTTCGAGGTAGACTTAAGGCTGATACAGTACACAATTTTAAAATCTGAACAGATTTTAAAACGATTGATATCATACACTTATAGACTTTGTAAACGGTCACAGAGGTAAAACTGGTCATCATACATTACACGACTGAGGATCACACACTTTAAAGTTCTGATCACAACAAACTCACGCAGAAATGTGTGCATTGTTACTAGGAGACGCGTGACAAATGAAAACAATAAGTGTTCTAAAATCAGCTCAAAATATCAAACATGTTTGATATCCTCTGACTGGATGGTCTGTGACCATCACACACTACGCGATTTTCTATGAAATCTGTCAACTCTAATCTGCAGACTGGCTCTGACTTTCGGTAACTAGCATCAACTTATCCAAACTGTACGTTGGTGGAAAAATCTGGGCTAAAGTCATTTTTAGTGTATTTGAGCCTGTAGGGGCCGTACACAGAAGACACGCCACTGCATTCTATCTATGCTATTTTTTTTAATTGTGGTCTGTGTACATGTATCAGATGCACACAAGATGTCAACAAGACATCTGGACTTTGGTCATTGCTCTGCATCCAGCTGTTTTAAACAGAAAACTAATTCTGATTCAATTAATTTTTACATAATTAACATGTTTAATTGACACCCTTATTTTAAGATACAGTCCACTTCTTTAAGTTTTCAAGTTATAAAAACACAAACCTTACGGACGAGTTGAATGGTGGCATTTTTTGCTAAGTGAAAACTCTCCTGTGAAATGCTGGCTGATGTGTCCAAAAGGATGAAGACATTCAGGCGACCTTCTGCAACCCTGACAGTCCTGCCCAAAGATTGCGCTAGTGATTGTGCAATAAACAGAACAAAAGTAAACAACTGAAATAATAGGCAGTAACAGTAATGATCTTTACTTGTGCACAAGAAAATTATGTTTTCCAAAATTCTCTTTTCACCTTTCTTTTTGAAGTCAGGGAGAGACACGTCCATGACTGCGGTCAGAGATCCTCCTAAAGCCTGAGCTATGACATCTGGTTGATCAAATGAGTACTGGGCTAAAAAAAAAAAAAGAATATGTTTACATTGTGTCAGTTCCACTACAATATGTAAATTAACCTCTGTTTCTCTGTTTTGACTGACCATAGCAGCGTGGTTCTGCCCCGCTCCATTCCCTTGAATCCAAACACTGTCTCTCAGAGGGGCCAAGTATATCAAGACCTGACTGACACAGATAGTGCACTTTGTCTCCGATAAGGAAACGTTCCCCAGAACGTAAGGCCCCTGGAGGTGTACCTGGGTTTTTACAGTCCTCCGCTGGAACAAGGAACAATATATAGTTTAGTCATGAAACTCTAGATGGTGCAGGCTGATGGGTTGTTAACGTAACCGATGATATTCAGAGAGTTAAACGACTTGGCCCAAGCTGATTGGTTCATGCTGCATATGCAGCAATGAGCTTACTGCCTTGCATTTATATGACTGGCTAGCATTCACTAGAGATTCCTGCAGCACACTTTCAGAGTTTCTCTGAAACCCTCCACCTCCCCCAGCTCCACCTGTATAGATCTGCTATGGGTTATTTTATATGATATTTGTGCTGCAGCAGCATGTCTTAAATACTCATGGCACCGTATCGCCGTATGCATTGGCAGTAGCAAGTTTCTGTACTTGCTTGCAGCAGCAGCAATAATCTACAACTACAGCAATAACCAACAGCACCAGCAGCGTAGCAGATCTGTTCCGCCAGGACAAAATACATTAACATTGTCATATCCATCACAATGCTAAAATCTTCCGAGAGTTGTCATGATTAAAATATAGTTATGAATAATATACTATATATTTTATGTACAATTTCCTGCACAACTTATTTCTGCGTTCTACTTAATCCAGCTCAGGCGTTTCCGGTAACAGCATTAAGTGCACTTAGGCTGCGTTTACACTGGCACAAAAAATCAGATCTTTCGCTCACATCTGACACAGGTCGGAATTTGTTGCACACGTGTGAACACAAAAACCCGCACGAGATCTGATTTTTTTGCATCCGATCTGAGCCACTTCCAAATGTGGAGTTTAATCGGATACACATCTGATATCTAGACATCCGACCTACGTCTAAACACACATATCCGATTCTCCACAGAACTCCCAATGCGAGGGCGACACGTTTGCTCATAAAGATTTTTAATGGCGTTTTAATGCCGACGTGCTGTATGCGCTCACATTTTATTGAGATGGAAACTTGCTAAAGATAAGAAATTGCACATTCAGGAGCTCGTTTTCAACCCCCGCCCCATGAATTTTGAAAATACAACAGCTAAAAGCTACATATATTTCTCAGCAATGAGGTGATAACTTAGCAGTTTTTGTAATTAAACTCTCTCTCCTTCGAATTCATTTCAATAAATATCATCTTTATTTCACTAAATAATTCTACCTCTAACGAGCTATAGATAAAATAGTCTAACAAATTTAAATTACCGTTATTTTCCAGTCTTTATCCGTTCTGTCAGATTTTGTGCTGCAAAACATCCATGACAGCCGTTGTCCATGCTGGCAAATAATAATGGCCATTCGACGTGAATTATATAAATAATTTTAAAAGCACGGCCATTTAAAACCCGATGGTCTACCATGTGCATAGTAAAGCGATCACTGCAGACAATCCTTTTGGGTGGGAATTAATGTAAACACAGATATCGGATACCAGTCGTGTCTAAAGTTAATGTAAACAGATGTGCCAAAAAATCGGATATGGTCAAAAGATCGGATCTGTGCATTAAGACTTGCAGTGTAAACGCAGCCTTACATACAGACAGTTTCACAGGAGAATGCAGATTATTACTACATTTTAGGGCAGTTGATTTTTAAAAAGTGTTCTCTGTGTTAATATGAATTATACTGAAACTGCTGAAACGTTCCTATAAATATATTTTCTTTTCCAAATGTGCATTGTGAGTAAATTAATTTCCCTACTAACCTCCAGCAGTCCAGTGCTCGTCTTCTCTTTAACAGTGTGTTTCACTTATGGATCATATTTCATACCTTTCACATTTCTGTAAATGAATTTGACTTCAGAACAGGATTTGCTTGTATGTGTTGATTGTCATGCTTTTTCCCCAGTCTTTTAAAATAGTTTGAATGAATGCGGCACCTGCCTTAAAGAAATGTAACGCTGTAATGCTGTTGACAACACTGCTACAATTAATATGAATTCTGAATTTTGGCATAAACGTAATTTAAATACAATGAAATGTTTGTCATTTAAAAAAACTGAGTGATCAAATCTTTTAATACAAACAGATAATGGTTTGTTCTTATATTATTCATTAGAATATCTCTTCTCTCATCCTTGAAAATGTCTGGATTTTTAAGTCTTCTTGCAGACACTCATTGTAAGTGTCATTTAGTCCACTAAGTGGCTACAGCACATTGAAAATATACATAACCGTAACTTAGGGAGCCGTACTGTTTGAAACCAGAAGTATGTCACAAATCTCAGTGCATGTAGTCAGAGAGAATAATGAAATTTCAGACAATGACCCAAAAAAGAAAAAGAGGTGAAACTCTTTAACATATTATAAAAGAACATAACAGGAAAACAACTGTGTGTTCTGCATATGTTTGGATCCAAAGGAATATAAATGCTTACACTGGTCATCACACACGGGTGTAGAACCGGTCCATACACCCCACTGAGTGCAGTTCCTCTCAGCAGATCCAGTCAAAACAAATCCTTCATGACAAGAAAATGTCTGCTTTTCTCCAATCCTGAACCACTGTCTCCTGGGCCAGAGCTGCCCGTTGTCAAGCTGAAGTTGAGCAGGGCAAAGGATTTCTGAGAGTGAAACAGAGAAATGGATACTTCAAGTGGAAGTAGTCTGTAGGGCTTTTTACACTTAGGGTGCTTTCACACCTGTAGATCGATTGCTTTGTGCCAAGACAGGGATTAAAATGATTACAGTGTTGCTTTTTATTCTTGGTGCAGTTCGCTTTCACACGGCAAAGTTTCTAAACGGACCAAATTTGTTAATACAAGTCACGCGCAAGTAAACTGTTCTCTCATTGGTCAAAGTTTCGTGGTTTATTTTCCGGGATTCCACTTAGCTGTCACGGCTGTCATCCATCAGCATAGAACGACAACAGCTTCGCGGGCTTACTGTTGTTGTTTTTTTTGTAGCTGTCGTTATATTAATTTATCATTTTGAGCAGGAGTCCAGGATTCATCGGGAAAACACTTTTAAAATGCACCTACTAGGAAGAAGAGCAATAAGACGGCATTATAAAATGAAAAAGTGCGCTTTTTTATTTTGAATGGCAAAGACGTGCTCACCCACAGACATTCACAGGTTCATTTTGAAGTATTAGCAAAACAACAAAGCTAATGCTTTTCACGGAACTTACATAATTACCCATTATTCATTGTGATATTGCCTGGTTCGCTGGTCCGTTAGATCGGATTGCTTTCTCACTACAACCGAACCGCTCCAGAGTTTGTTTTCAATCGAGCCGAGATCACCTCGTTCAGGTGATCTCGGACCGATTGTTTTGGCACGGATCCGAGCACGATTGCCGTGTTCACATATGCCCAAACTAACCGAGCTAAGGGGGGAAACACGCCAGGTTCCGAAACAACGGGCAAGGTGTGAAAGCACCCTTAAACTGTTAAAGCTGGGTTTATCCTTTTACATGTTTCACACTGTTCAATCTTTACACTGGGCAATGACTTAATCCTAGGTATTCAGGATTCAAGGTTTAATACTACATTTGTACATTAGTACATTTGTTAATTCAATTTTAATTTAATTAGGAATTTTCAGATTTGCAATGTCAGTATTATTGATTGGATAAATCGAGCATGTGGTCTCATTTAAAATGAGTGTGAACCTTTGTTTTTACTCAGGGTTAAGAAGCAAAGTTTAGAAGAATGATAATCCTGGGTTAAGAACCCATACTTTCTCTTATATGAGAACATACCCTTGCACACAGCATTGAGTGTTCTCTTTCCATTTGGAAGTCTCATGGCTGACCATTCCCCATCTTTGTCACAGACTCTTTGCGATGCCGGAAAAGGATAGTGTCCTGCCTTGCAGTGATAGGTCAACACACTTCCCTCCAATCCCTCACTGGAGTAGGACACGCTACCTCCCTTTATGGACACGTCCAAAGAGCAGTTCTTCTGTGGTTCCTCATAATCTCCATAATCACTGGTTTCTAAAATACACAGATGTAATCCTGGTATTAGATAGCAGCGGAAACCAGTTTTGTACGTACTGTAAATCTTTACCTAACCAGTCGCAACATGATAATAATCCAGTGACAAGAAATATGTCTGTCAATGCAGCGCAACAAAATCAGTAAAATCTCAAATATGAGAGCCAATCAGAAGAGCGTGTCGGCGGGCTCTCTCTGCAAGCGTTACATGTTATAGATGTTTTTACACATTAACGCAATGACACACAACTAACGGGAGAACGATAATAGTCCATATGTAGCAGCTTGATGATAACATATGTTTTATTAAATCATGGCTGCATCAGAATTCACATTTGGGGTATGATTGTGTGTGGTTAAATATACACCTTGCGATTCGCTCAGACACATCATCAGTAATGTTATTCGGGGTCATAGGGAGATTCAGGTCTTTCAAACATCATACACCCTGACTGGGCGACCTGGCCCTAGCTTGTTTCTGAGCATGCGTTCTGCCACAGATCATGCCGTGAAGCTTTCTCAGCAGCTTCTGTGATATTCCTGATCAATCTTTACTCATGGGCACCTGATAAACCCAACTGACTGAGGATCTTACTTCACGTGCCTCCTCTATATGATCTCCCCATGGAAGTGTAAGCTTAAGCGTGACCACCTGCCTGATTGACTCTGACGGCAGAACTAGATCTGACCTAAGCATGGTCACACAGATGTTCCCAGGGGATTTTAGTTGTTTCCCATAGTCCACACTCAACTGCCAGTCCCTTGCTGTTCCCAAAATGCCTGCCTGTCCGATAGCTTCTTCAGAGAAGATGAAGAGAATACTATACACTACACACAGATTCTCTCAGTGTAATCTATGGTGCAGAAAAAAAGGTATTATCAATTAATGTTTACCACAGACTACAGGCAAAAGGTGGCACTTTTAAGAATGGCGGGTGTCAGTGTTTTTTTGTGGCATGCATTCGGTCAACAAACCTACACTTACATCACTGGTAGATCCTATAGTGCTGGGTTAGACCTTACTTTGAAGCAGAAGCTAATTTAAAACCCCAAAAGAAGTTCCTATAACTAAAATAATTCCCAGTTCCCGTGGTGCGAACATGCTAAAAAGTGGTGTACAGAGAAGAAGTAGAAAACACTCCTCGGGTGCAAAAGCCCCTTGAAGATTACCTTCACACTTGACCTTGGATACCTTAGGCTCCCATTCTCCAGCAGAGCTGCAGACTTTTTGTTTGATTGGATAAGGTTCGAATCCATCACTGCAGTGATAAATTAGCAGACTACCTGCAGCTCTGCCATTGGAATACTCCACCGTGCCTCCAATGATGGACTCAGATGTGTTGCAGGTTTTGGGTACGTTCTCTTCATAATCATAGTCATATTGTGCTGAAACAGAGAAATATTAAATATTCTTAACCTTCACATTTGATTATTTCAGATCTGAAATTCAAGCTATTACTTGAATGAAAAACAGGAGTGTCAGTAGTAGAAGCACACTGCATTTAACTGCTAAAAAACCCAATGCTGGTTTGCAAGATTTAGTGAGGAAGAAGTAGAGGTGTGACCTCGGCATCCTGGCCAAATTTGCCCATTGGCCTCTGATCATCATGGCCTCCTAACAATCCCCATATCTGCTGATTGGCTTCATCACTCTGTCTCCTCTCCACCAATAAGCTGGTGTGTTGTGGGCATTCTGGCGCACTATGGCTGCCGTCGCATCATCCAGGTGGATGCTGCACACTGGTGGTGGATGAGGAGATACCCCTTTACAATGTAAAGTGCTTTGAGTGCCTAGAAAAAGCACTATATAAATGTGATTAATTATTATTATTATTAATATTATTATTATTATTATTATAAGTCATTTTGAAGTTCTTGCCTTTTTTGCTGGGTATGGAAGCAGGCCTAAATTCCAAACTAAAAGCTCAAACCAGCTTAAAATGGTTTGCTGGTCTAAGCTGGTCTCCAAGCCTGACTTGGTTTAAACAATTAAACAAAAGTCTTTGTAGCAGAGTAATGAAGCAAATTTCAGATTTGACTGTTGCACTCCCATCAGATGTTTTTTAAACAACATTATTTTCATCTGACAAGTACAACAGAGAGGTATGAAATGAAAAGCACAACTGATGCAAACAGAATGCACATTTCAAAGTAGAATAACTGACTGTAGCATTATTATTTGGAGAAACAATTATGTGAACTTAGCATATTCCTAAATATTTGCAAACATATTGTGGTATTTTTATGCATACACTCTAAAAAATGTTGGGTTAAATATAACCCAGTGCTGGGTTAAAAAGGGACAAACAAAGCTATTGGGTTGTTTTGACTCAGCGGTTGGCTTCAAAATAACCCAACCGCTGGGACAAAACATCCCAATAGCTTGGTCAAAACAACCCAATAGCTGGGTCAAAACAACACAACTGCTGGGTCAAAACATCCCAATAGCTTGGTCAAAACAACCCAATAGCTGGGTTCAAAACAACCCAACCACTGGGTTAAAACAACCCAACCGCTGGGTCAAAACAACCCAACCGCTGGGTTCAAAACAACCCAATAGCTGGGTCAAAACAACCCAATACCTGGGTCAAAACAACCCAATAGCTGGGTTTGTCCCTTTTTAACCTAGCGCTGGGTTATATTTAACCCAGCATTTTTTAGAGTGTAGTACAGTCAAATTTCATACAGAGGTATACACATAAAGAGTGAGTATATTTTTCTTTCTTGTGGCACAGCAAGTCAAGTACTCTTCTGAAGAGTGTGCATGATATAACTAAAGTAACAGAAAGATGTGAAGAAAGCTGCTTACTGACCACAATGCATGTATACATGGGGTTAAGGGGAATCTGCTAACACAGTGCCTGAAAACGCAAATGTCACTTTCTTGTTTTAAACCACTTTCTCACAACAAGAGGATTTCCGGTGTGCATGTAAATGTAGTAATTTACACAGAATTATGGAATTTGCACTTAAATTTATGAATCTCATGGTTTATTAACTGGATGTGGTGAGGTTATTCAATGGAATATTTGTCAGATTGATTTAAACCGGTAACTCTTGAGTTTGTTAGACTTTTTGGTAACACTTTAGAATAGGGAACACATATTCACTATTAACTAAGAGTTTTCCCTGAACAAACTCCTAATTTGCTGCTTATTAATAGTTAGTAAGGTAGTTGTTAAGTTTAGGTACGGGGTGGATAAAGGGATCTAAAATATGGTCATGCAAAATAAGGCATTAATATGTGCTTTATTAGTACTAATAAACAGCCAATATGCTAGTAATATGCATGCTAATAAGCAAGTAATTAATAATGGCTGGGTTCAAAACAACCCAATAGCTGGGTCAAAACAACCCAATACCTGGGTCAAAACAACCCAATAGCTGGGTTTGTCCCTTTTTAACCTAGCGCTGGGTTATATTTAACCCAGCATTTTTTAGAGTGTAGTACAGTCAAATTTCATACAGAGGTATACACATAAAGAGTGAGTATATTTTTCTTTCTTGTGGCACAGCAAGTCAAGTACTCTTCTGAAGAGTGTGCATGATATAACTAAAGTAACAGAAAGATGTGAAGAAAGCTGCTTACTGACCACAATGCATGTATACATGGGGTTAAGGGGAATCTGCTAACACAGTGCCTGAAAACGCAAATGTCACTTTCTTGTTTTAAACCACTTTCTCACAACAAGAGGATTTCCGGTGTGCATGTAAATGTAGTAATTTACACAGAATTATGGAATTTGCACTTAAATTTATGAATCTCATGGTTTATTAACTGGATGTGGTGAGGTTATTCAATGGAATATTTGTCAGATTGATTTAAACCGGTAACTCTTGAGTTTGTTAGACTTTTTGGTAACACTTTAGAATAGGGAACACATATTCACTATTAACTAAGAGTTTTCCCTGAACAAACTCCTAATTTGCTGCTTATTAATAGTTAGTAAGGTAGTTGTTAAGTTTAGGTACGGGGTGGATAAAGGGATCTAAAATATGGTCATGCAAAATAAGGCATTAATATGTGCTTTATTAGTACTAATAAACAGCCAATATGCTAGTAATATGCATGCTAATAAGCAAGTAATTAATAATGAGAATTGGTTTTTAAAATAAAGGGTTACCAACTTTTTAAACACATAATTAAAAGACCAGCTCACAAGCAATGTGTTAGTGAAACGGACTGCACAGATGACATTGCATGTTTGTATTTGTGTGCAGCCATGAAGGATCGCTGCCACTGAAAAGCAGGACTGGAAACAGTAGTGTGATCTATTACTTGCCACTTGCATTATGTTAGAAATATGTAAATAAATGCCCACCAACCAACTTGATAATTGAATTTAATAATTTTTTATAATCCAAATCACAGTGCTCTTCCAGTAAGTGCCTCAACCAAATTATTAAGTCCATACAAAAGATATCTACACTCTGGAAATGTCTTACATGCATAATTCTTAATATAATAACAGCCACAATGGGATAAAAACGGATGTTTCAGGCCACAGACCTTCTTCTAACATGGATGAACACACCATCATTCTCACTTTGTGACCCACAGTTTGAAAACGCTGTTACCTTAAATGCACTTACCTTTACATACAGAGATGTACAAGAAAAAAGTGATGAAACATGCAGTTGCGTAGTGCATAGGGGACATGATGAGCATGGTTTAACTCTCTGATATGGTTGAAATACCAATATGAACCTTTGTAACGTGTATTTGAGGAGTGATTAAACATTAACACGTTTAAGGCAATTCTGGGAAATTACTATACACTAATCAATTTCTGCAAGTCTTAAAGGTGAAGTGTCTAATTTCAGAATTTTCAAACGTGTTGAATAAATCATTGTTTTGGAAAAACCTTAAACAAAGTAAGGTAGTTGAACACAATTTGCAAATCTTTTTGCAAAACAAAATAATTACTATTGATACCAATAGTTCTGCCAGATACAAATTCTGGCAACCGTGAGAGACCATGTACTTGTTAATGGAATTGCAATGAGGGAAGCAGCACAAAGACTACAACCCAATTTGAGTAGATTCTCCTAATTCCACATTAATAAGCACACTGAGAGAAGAGAACAGCTATTGTTTCATTTTACTATGTTTCGGTCATTGAAGGAGTACTGTATGCATTTGATTCAGTTCAAAGAGGATTAACAAAATACAGTTTTTCCCAAATGTTTACAAAAGTTTGCTGAATGGTTGGCCCGCTGTCCCAAAACTCTAAACTCTAAACACAAAACCACAAGCACAAAATGCAAAACTCTGCAAGTCTCTAGTGAAAACAAATACTACTTCTAGTTTTCTGCTGCTGGGTATGGAAAGTATTACAATTGGTGAATGACAATCGTGAGATTCAAAGCCCTCACGTTCAGCCTCATCCTGTGCTTATTAGGGAGTCACCATTCACCTTCTTTATTTTCAGTCACCATAAAAAATTAAATATGTAATGTAGCTTTGCGGGACCCTCCAAATGTCTAGAACTGGCCCTGTGTGGAGGTGAAAAAAATTCAAATATATATATATATA